GAGCGCTGGGAGCCCGGGGAGGAGCGCGCGCGCACACACACACACACACACACACCGGCCGTCACTGCTCCACTTCGGAAGGACACGGAGACGGTGCGTAAAATGTGGCACCGAACAGAAACGATGTTCGATTCCCTCCTGAGACCGAAACTCAGACACCAACAGAAACGATCCAACCCAGTTGCACACGAATATGAATTGGGCTCCACGCACTCACCCCACTCCCGTGACACATCTCTCCAGGCGGCCAGGTAGAGATGACATTGCAGCCTGTTACTCCATTCGGCAGGAGTGGGAGTCACAGACGACTCTCCCCCGTCAGATTAATCCATCAGTTTCTCCTCCATTCAGTGTTCCCCACTCTCCCAAACACCACCACACAGATAAATCCACCTGTCTGCCTCAGAAGACCTCCTTCCTCCCCCGGCGACACTTCTCCCCTCACGGTATTCCTGTGAAGAGACGTCGGTCTCCGTCCCTGGAACGGTTGGAGACTGATGACGGAGCAGCGGTGAAGCGGGAACTGAAAAAAACAACGCTTTTAATTCATTGTATCCGAAAACAAGCCTTGTTTTTTGGAATCTCCAGCGGCAGCCCCGCGCGTTCCGCAGTGAGTGCTGGTGGACAAGTCCGCGCTGCCGCTGCCGCCGCCTCCTCCACCACCTCCACCTCCTCCTCCTCCTCCTCCTCACTCGGATTCTTGGAGACCGAAGGGGGGATTCCGTCACAATTAACGCCAAGACGCACACACATATAAACCTCTCTCTCTCTCGCTCTCCCCCTCTCTCTCTCCCCCCTCTGTCAAACACACTCCCACCCTCTCTGGAGCTTCGCGCTCTCTGCACGAGCGCCGCCGTCGCCGAACTAAGAAGAAAAATGGACCCAAAATAAGTTTAAATGGTTCCAGGTTCTTTTTTCTACAGTTCTCTGCCACAGAGGCGAGACTCGGAGAAAGAAAACATTTGTCGAAGCTCTGGTTCAGCTCACAGCCCGCCCGCCCACGCGTGGATGGATGAAGATACTTTCACATCAGCCTGCTTAATTAAACATATGGGCACCGGGACCTAATGAATGAGGGGGAGGGGGGTGGGGTGGGGGAGGTGGGCTCATATGAGTGTCTTCATCTTTCGACTGAATAAAAAAAATTATTTCAATAAAAAAAAAGATTCGTGTGACAGAAAGGGAGGAGGGAGACGGACGCGCGCCAGGGAAATTTCGCATTCCCTCACCAAAAAGCGTCTTCAACTTCACAGCTCGTTACATCTGATGCCGCCCCTCTCTCTGCGCGTATCCTGCTCCAAAACACACACCGAAGACGCGCGAGATGGAGCCCGTGGCGCACATCATTATGCGTCGTTTATGGCATCACCTGGTGCCATCTCGCCAACGAGCGTGCGTCTGTGCGTGTGCCCGCGTTTGTCTGCGTGTTCGTGTGTGAGTGAGTGTGTGTGTGACCGCCGTCTCGGCACAGATGAACCACACGGTCCTGGTGCAGAGAAGTCTGCGTCAACAGAGCGAACACAGCGATGATTCCACCATGACTGCACACGCGCACACACACACGCACACGCCGCTTCTACTACTGATGATAATCATGTGTCATTTTTCCTTTGTTCCCAGTCTGAGATAAGAGGAAACTGAGGCAACGCTGCTGAATTACACAGCCTCAATTAAACACAATTAACAGATCAAAACTGCAGCACAGGGGGTCCGTGGGGACTGCTGACAAACCCCCCCCCCAGGAGTGTTGCTGTGGACTCCCACTGTGGGCAGATGGAGGAGACTGTCCACAGGTCATGTTCATCAGGCCGCAGCTCTGGGACTGTGGTCTGTCATGAGACGACAAACACTCCTGATCAGATCACACTTGTTACCAAAGACTTTCCTCTCCTCCTCCTCCTCCTCCTCCTCCTCCTCATTCTCCTGAATAAAACCCTCACCTGTTGATGATCTCTGGCCTTCCTCCATCACAGATTTTAAGGCTTTGAGCAAATATAGAAGGTGGTTGTATAACATTGGCAGAGAGAGAGAGAGATAAAAGGAGGCCACTTTAAACATGGATGATTGTCTTTCCTTTCTTCAGCAAATATAAATAAAGGCTCTTCCAAATATAACAGTTTCGTCTCTTTATCATAAACGCCATCATCTCCTGGTGGAGACTTCCTGTTGGCACCAGTTTAAATCAGGACAGCCAGCCCAGAGAAACCACTAAGAACGCTGGGAGATACCATTAACAGTCATTTTCTTTTTTTTTCCTTTTTTTTGTCTCATCATTAAAAATTAGCCCCAGTAGACGATGGATAAGTTGGTCTTGTGCTAATTTTAAATATGGAGATGTTGCACAAAAACAAAACAACGTTTTTGTTTTTTTTACTCCATACAACTATTCTCCTCCAAAAGTTTAACCTGGTTCAAGGGTAGACCTGCCTGCAGACCTCCCTGTAGTCATCTCCAGGACACAACCTTCTGAAGGCACAGACCTGACTCAGTATAATCACAGTTTAATCACTAGAACGACACAGTGATTCAGTCCTTCTCAGCTCGTCCACAGTCGTTTGGATTTGTTATCTTTTTACTGTCTGGGTCACATGACGTACTGACCTGTAGCTGCTGCGAACGACACTCAGTTCTGGCTTCAGGCACCGACACTGGAGAAATGATAGAGAGAACTTTATTAGCTTTATCATTATAACTTTATTATCAATTATCACCGTGAATAAATAAATAATCCGAGCAGAGAGTGAAGACGATCTGCACGGCAACAGTGAAAAGGAAGAATCTTAAATCCTAAACCAAAGTGGATTCTTTACTTCACATTTATCTGAACACTTCCTGTTGAGTTGGAACACCAGGTATATTTACATGAAAATACACAATAAAACCGGGAAACTAGTAATAATTGTTATTATTTTGACTTAATTTGACAGATTTTATTGTTAACACATGTTCCCGCTTCTGTGTAATTTCTCTCAATGAAATCCATCAATACAAAACTAAATTAATCCAAACAATTGGACCAATGACGTCAACAGAACCAAACAACGGTTTCCCTCTGTTAGCATATTTAGCACCGAAAGCTAAGGCACATTTGGCGCTACTTTTCCATGTTTAAACCAGTTGTTTGGTCGTTAACCATATTTATCAGACATCGTTACCGGTGGAAACAAAACTTTTGTGATTTAAACGTGTTTGCAGTATAAACAGTAGTTTGTTTTCACCTTTGTTCTAACCTGTACACGTCGTTCTCCGCTTCAGAAGCAGGAAGTACTAAACCGAGCCCTAGTCCAGTTCCACACCTTTTATGACAACTTCCTGTGGGATTGTGCCATGTGTGTAATGAAGTGTAGGGGGGGAGGGGAGGGGGTTAAGCTACTTAAGCTACGATGCATTTGAGTACTATCATGAAAAAGTTTTGCTTCAAATTCATCTCCTAGAGCTGAAGTGTTTGACGATGAATATAATAATGTCACAAGTTATAGAAATAATTTCAATGGGCGGAGCCAATGTCCATCTAAAATAAAAAAAATCTAAAATTAAACGATTCATTAGTTAAGTTATTTATTAGTTTGTTCCATGTTGCCATCGTAAACATTCCTTCACCACAGTAGAAAGTCAACGGACAAACAAACACTTGAAGTGAAGAAATATTTCTTCTGAGTCTCTTTCTTTTCCCCCTCAGACTTTGAACAACCCAACAGTCCGCGGCGGCGCCGCCTTCCAGACAAATCCAATCGATCTCACATTTCATTCCAGCGGCGGTTATTTCTTAACATCATCCCGCCTTTTTTATGTCGATGTGTTCTTACGTGTGTCCACTTCACATAACTTTGTACCAGTGTTGATGTCGATGTGGCCGTCGTTAATCAACAGTCAATTGGCAAAAAGAGCAAAAATAAAAACGTGATTAAGACGGTTTAGAGCTAAACAGAGCAGTTTGTCATATACTGTACTATACTATACAAAGTCCGCATCAACTGACTTACATTAGACCAGTGGTCCTCGATAATTCTCTGTCCTGCCCCCCCTTGTGGACAGAAATGTTTTCAATCCGCTCCTTGAGAACTATATTCAATTATCCCTGTCCAACAGTCTAATTTAATACACCTTAATAAATTAAATTTTAAATGAGAACAACGTAAATGGATAGATCCCTGTCCCAGCAGAGCAGGATGTGCAGTTCTTATTTACGGTCCACGATCGTTGAACACCTCTGTCTCTGTGAATCGTTTAGTGCTGAGGTGAGTGTAAATCTGTCAAAGACGTGAAAACACAACCAGCTTTTTCTTTCTCCCATTGTCAATAAAACTCACGAGGCTGGTGCTAAAAAAACCCCACCTCACCCACTGATCAAAATGAAGAAATATTTGAAAACATCAAATGGGAGCCATTATGTTCCATTCAGATGTTGTTATTACTCTGTGTAATTATCGGAGACAGCCGTTCATTCTGCTAATGTTTTTGGTTAGCGCTCAGGACTCCAGTATCTGGAGGATGAGTCACAGGAGAGGAAGAGGAGTCCAATTAAAGAAAGTCCAAGGATGGAAGCAGCAGGCAGGCTGAGAACACGCACTGACAAATAAGAATCAACAACAAAATAACAGGGAAGAGACAATAATTACAGCCGGCACCACACAACAACTTATCAGTGGAACTTTTGTATCCATGGTAACGGGTTGTTTCAGTTGTCACACCATAGGTTTAACATCCGTCCATGTGAGCCAGCCTCTCACCCTAACTCGTCCAGAGACTCACTGCTGATCTGACTCATCTAGACGTCCTGCTCATTAGCTGTGGAGCTGAGTAAGAGCCAGTCTGTAGACGGCTCTAACTGTCAACCTTGTTTAAAGAAAAAGGTTTGGGAAACAAATGACAAGGAAACAGCAGACGGACCTCGTGGAACAATCCGGATTCTGTTTATGTCTTAAATTGCGTGCGAGCATTTTACAGTTTTTCAACCTCCTGCAGCAGCGACTCTTACAGGCCTAATTAAACGCCTCTCTTCATTCACTGCATCCTTTGTCACATTTTATGTTGTTTTTTTTAAACCCATCCTCAGACTAGCACACAGCAGGGCCGTATTTGACAGTCGTCGTCGTCACTCTGACTTGACAGCAGAAATACAGGCAAAAGTATGATTCACTTGCAATGTTTCTATGCAACTAGAAGCGAGATAGAAAGTAGGTGGGCTGCACGCTGCCTAGTTAGTGTGGAGAGGCCAGCCCACCAAACACTGGGACCTCTCGCTTTAGTTTATTTATTTCTTTTCTTTCAGCGGACCAATGAAAGTGGCAGAACAAAGACGCAGCGTTGTAAATAGAGTGGCTGCTTTAATGTACGCTGAGGAAAAGACGGCGTGAAACAAAGAAAAACAGATTTAATTTATTCAACTCTCGGTTCCGTCTGGAACAGAGCAGTAAAAACACTGGGAATTTACAAGGTTTTAATTTCCCTCCTGCTCCCGTCTCTCCCCTCTCCTCTGTTTGTCTCTCTGACTTTCTCACCCACAGAGAGGGCTGACCTGGATTGAGCTCACCTACAGACGACACTGCGTCCTGACAGGGAAAAAAAAAAAGGTGAAGATACGTTCTGTGAATGGAATCACGTGCCTGAAAAAGGTGAAGGTACGTTCTGTGAATGGAATCACGTGCCTTTTGTTCCAGCGCCCACACACCATTGAAAATAATTCATCACAAGGGAAACTAATAACTTCCTGTCACACATGCTGTAGTTTGGAGGAGAAAGTTTACGTGTGAAACAGACCAATCGGTTGGATTGGAAGTGATGATGAGCTGCTGCGTCCTCCTCACTCCTCTTCATCACTCTGCTTGGTAAAGTGATTTTCAGTTCAAACAGCAGATTTAAAACTGACGTCTCCATTTACGTCAACACAGATAATCCCCTCTCCTAAATTGTTGCTGAATGAAGTTGTGTTTGTTTTACTTCAGCAGAAAATATTCAACTATACTTCTGTTACACCCGTAAATTAAACTGCAGCATTTATTCATTCA